CACACACACACACACACACACACACACACACACACACACACACACACACACACACACTCTTACCTCCTGGCAGTACTGCAGGATGCCCTCCTTAGTGCCGATGCAGCTCTTGGTGCTTGAGGGGTCCGGCTCCCACTTGCCGCTCTGCACGTTGATGTGCATATTGAGTTTACCGCAAAACATGGCTACCTGGGGTTCTGCCAACAGACCCATGGAAACATCTGTAGGCACCTAGAGGTGGGTGGGGGGGAAACAGATGAAGAAAAAGAGAGAGAGAGAGATTTAATGAGAATTACCACTCATGTTAAACTCCTTGAGCACTTGCGCTGAAAAACGCAAGACGGATGCAATTAAATGTTATTGCTGGGATAAGGGGGGGGGGGCTGGGAGAGGAGAGGAGAGGAGATTAGATGAAAAGTAAGACGAGGTGAGCGAGAGAGAAAGAGAGAGAATGGATAGAGGAGGAGGAAAGCCACAGACGAGGATCTGGGTTGGATTTCTGTGTTCTTAAAAACTCTTAGTCATGGCACTGCGAGCATCGTACTAAACGCCTCTTTGCAATTGTGTGTTTTAGCAAACGATCCCCTCGAAAAATGCTGGAGAACAGAACAAAAGGATGGACATGAAAAATCAATAACGTCAGAGGAATAAATTGCCTCAAACAACCAGCCTGAAGCCATTCACCCGCTGCTTTCTGGGACGCACACACACATCCAATCCTCTGCTCTGCTGCTTATATGGGAACAGTGAGTGTACATCTCTCTGCCCATGCCCAAGTCTTTCCAGGACAGTATAGTGTTTATATAACCTTCTGTTGATTTGTTTTTGGTTTGTTTCTCTCCATTAGCACAGCACATACTGCGCATAAGAGCAGGTTGGCTGCAGGCAAAGGGAGAGTGCGCGAGCGAATGTGTGTGAGTCTCCCTTTGGCATGAATGTATTAATTTTTGTGTTAATTTATGCTCCTGTGCATTGATTTGTGTGTCTATCTGCATGAATTCAGAGGTTTTTGTGCTGAAGGCTCCCCCAGGAGAAGAGGTGCAGACAAACCACTGAATGTCTGCATTGTACTGGCAAATGAGCTCGAACAAAATGGGAGGGAATACAGGGAAGAAAAAAGAGAAGGAGACAGAGGGAGGGAGGAGAGGGACTGTTGCCATTGTGTGCTGCCTAATCGTGTTAATGGTTTTCAAGGCCCTGGCAGGCGAACAAATGCTGTTTTGTGAGATGGATAGCATATTTCTTCCTCCAGACTTGATTTTTCCTCAAGCAGCCGGGGGCATAAAGTCCTCGTCCAAAAACGAGAAAAGCTGATGGGGCGATCAATTCCGATTAAATTTGAAGCTGAAAACCAAAATGTTTGGGTCGATTTTACAGCCATGTATCTAGTGCATCGGTGGGAAGATGGACTTTATCAGCTTGCATTATATTCCAGTTACCAACAATGACATTTGGCAGACGAATGAGTCGATCCTCGCTGCAGCTGTTTCCATCTATACTCGACTGCACTCGGAGAAACCGGCCTAAGCAGAGGAGAAAGCTTCGACACATAACCAAACATGAGGTGAATGCAATAAAACCAACACCTGTACAATGTGATGCCATCCAATGCTCTTGTGCAACAGAAAATTAAAATCTGAGAAGTAGTAATGTAATGATTCCTTTGTGGTTGTGGGAGGGACGCATAACAATTCAGATGTGGTAGATTTGTTGAGTAGCACTGTTTTACCGCTTTGCATCATATTTTAGGGTGCAGATAAGATTTTTAAAAAGCCCCCAGAGGTGAACGGATAAGAGTTTGTGCAATTTATCAGATGCACAAACGCTGAAAAACAAAGATGTAAACTCGGAAAAAGAGCTTTTGGCAATGAGGACCGACTGTGTGTTTGTGTACAATAAACACAACAAGCTATTTCTGCAGCAGAATATATACGTCACATCCTGCATCCTGCTGCTTTACCCAGACACCAGCCCTCCAACTAACGTTCCAGACATTTTAGTTACAGATCTGGAAGTCACCTGCTGTGTTCTCCACAGTTCATTTCTGGCTTTACAGAGTGACACTCAGGACGGATATCAAAGCTGATATTTGACCTGTTTAATAATTTGTGCTTTTATATGGTTTCTTTAAAATGTTTTACCCTTTTTGAAATTTGTATGCTTCTGTTCTGTGCTTTTATACTTCATTTATTTCTGTAAAGCACATTATATGACCTCTATGGATAATAATAACACACAATGTACAAATAAATGTCCCTTTCCTTACATAGACAAGTAAACACCAAGCTGCATTAGGTAATAACTTTATCAATGTGATATCTTACAAACAGTTAAATTAGGTCAAAGTCTTTACCTCGCAGTAAAGATTAACAGGGCAGGGTCAGTTATGTGATTGGCTGTTGCTTTGGTCTGAATCTGAGGACAGCCAATCGCATAACTGTCACTGTCCTGTTTGTGGCATAAGAGTTTGTGGCAAAAAGCAGTGTTCAGAAAAAAGTCTCCAGAACAAAGACAAATGCAATGATTAAATGAAAAACCGAATAAGGAAAAGACATTTTGAAACTAAAAGGGCGTTGGGAGCATGCCAAGACACCTTCACACCGTAACCTGCCATGTTAAAGAAAGTGAACGAAAAAAAAAATCTGCTCCAAACTTTAATTATTTCATCCCTCACTCCTTATAATACATAATAGAAAATATAACTAGAATAAACTCTGAGCATTTCCTGCTTTCCTCTGGCAGTGTTGCCACCAAGTGATCGCAAGAATGTTCATCTTCATATTTTCTATGACAAGTTGATTTAATAATACAAACTGTTCACAAACTGGGGTCTAACCAGAATGCATGATTAACAGCCTGTGAATTCATCAACCACCCAATCATAAATAACTCTGCAAATATGTGACAGGCTTATTGATTTATAGGAACTTTTACAAAGTTTAAACCACAGCGATCCATGCAGCTCCACCTAGATTTCATGGAAATGTAATTAGAGTTGCTAATGGTTCTGATTTTGTCATATTCTCATGAAATATTGATGCATATTTAAAAAAACAGTCGACACTAATGGGGCAGCAAGTATTGTTAAGAACTGTGATACAAGTAAAATGTGCTCCAAAGTATGCAACTCTACTATCTCTCTCTCTAACATAATTTAGTCTTTGTGTAATGATCTGGAGCAAACTACATGCCAGGGAAATATTTAGAGTAAAACGTACGATATGTAACTTCGGTGGTTTTGAGTCTCTCAATCCAAACAATATTCAAAGACCTAGTTTGATGATGTCGTAAAGATGCATGGGATCATGGGAGATGGTGTCTTCGCCAGCATCGCTGATGAAAATCTACCTTGCGCAACTCAGACACAAATCATGTTCAGGGATGAGGTGATATATTTACGGTACGCAGCAAACGACAACCAATAATCAGGATCCTTTACAAGTGACCAATACAAACAATGGAAATAAATGTTGGATAATATAAGTACACAAGTCAACAATAAACATAACATAAGTGTAATTGTTTCATATTAGATCTTTGAGTTTATAATATTACCTCTTTACTTCAAGTAACCTTAAACATTTGACTTGTCTATTCTCCTCCACATGGTTAATTTTAATGTAAAGGACACAACAGTCAAAAATAAGTGTAGTAATGAGTTCTTCAGGGTTCGGTTGTACTCTCCGTCTATAACAGTTCACACAGATCAGGTTACACTTCCATGGGTCAAAAATGCATCTGCAAAGTTCACACCCCTAACAGGTCAACGGGATGATCCGCGAGCTGTACTAGAACGGAAATCAGTAAATCCCTCACACTCACACACACACACGTTGAAATTAGGGTGTAAAATCCCATCTTGCCCCCAGCACATGGCAACTTAACACTGGTGGCCATCGGTCTCGACACAGAGCCATCTTCACCAGATGGGGTTATTTAGGGCTATGACGCTCGATTCCCACACTGCCATCTGTGTGTGAGCAGTGCTACCGGGCATAGATCAAATCCCATACCGCTCATTAATATTAAAACCCAAGGCAGGCCGAGAGCAGAACGTTTTCAAATAATCTTTAAAAAGTATTTTTGCATGCGTGCTATCTTTTAATTAACTCACTTTCTGGGTGCCCAGTTTCATTCTGACCTTATCTGCCCACCCTCTGGCCTCTCCCTGTCGCTTACTGAAAGAGATAGAGCAACTTCCTCCCTGCTGGAGGCATAGGTACGCAAATCTGCTCCAGTGGCTCTCTGACATTCAAATTCTTTGTGTCATCCTCTTTTGGCTGGCAAATCATATCCTCACCCATCACATTCTCTTCTCCTTCCTGCCTCTCAGCCTCTCCGCTGCTATCTCTTCACCAGTCTGTCTTCTAGCCAAGGAAGGGAGGAGGAGATGCAGGAGGCGAGTGGCCAAGCCTTCGCTATAAGCTTATAAATCTGACTCCCAGGATGGTGGCAAAGGCAGGAGCAGAAGGAGAAAGTGAGAGAAGAGAACAATAACCACAATGGGGAGGAGGCAGGGAGAGATTGTAGGACAGATGAATTGGACAATAAGCCCTCGGGGTGTGAGCAGAAGGTCAAGCGCTCTGTAAAACAGAAAAGGGATGAGGGGATGGAGGGCCAGAGACGGAATGGGCGTCTGAAGGAAATCAGGGAAGGCTTAATGGAGAAAAGATGAGTAATTCTGGTGTCAGAGAAAGGCAGCTCAGAGAAGAAGGGTGTTTGCGTGTTCTGTCAGCAAACTTGAACGTAGGTTAACTGAAAATTCTGAAAAGATCCTCCTGACAAACAGTAACGCCACTGTCTATACTGCGTCAAGAAATAATCTCTATACTTCCCTTCTTCATCTTTTCTCTTTAACAATTAAAATTTTCCAAATACTCCCAAAAAGAACAAATAAGAATCAGGAGACTAAAAAGGTTAAGTGCTACGATGCTAGAATCTACCCTGAGCAACAGATGGACTGAAAAAAGGCAGACCATCAAATGGCGGAACACACCAGCGGCAAATGTATATTACAGAGGGAGAAACCAGGCTGTGTGTGTGTGTCTTTATCCCATCTCAGATATAGTTCACTGTCCTGCCGCTCGGCCCGGCCAGCCGGTCATCCTGCAGGGGAGGGAGCAGTAATCTGGGCACTGAGGATTAGGACGGCAGCCTGGTCAGGAGAAATATCCCCCTTTGCTCTCAATCTGGCATGATAGCCATCACGGTCAACAGCAGGGAATAAGCCA